CAGAGCGCGAGCTACGGCCGCCTGCGTAAGCCGGGGAGGGCACCGGGGAGGCAGAAACGGTCCGAAAAATAATACAGTCAAGTTGCAAATGAGAATGGGATGTTGCAATGAGAAGGAGATCCCACCACAGCCAGAAATGAGACGTGGTTTGTGTAACCACAGCATGACTAATATCAGTAAAACTCATATTTTGGGGTTTTCGTCTCATTGTAACTTATTTCCAAGCCCAGCTGTAATAAATAAGGCTTTTTCTGTTTGAGCTGAAGTCCTCCCGCCACATTTTCTCCTTGCACGTGGGGCTGAAATCGGGCTGCGCATCACGGGGAGGTTTTCTCACCTTCTCCCTCTTCTCTCCACCAGGTCACGCGCAGAGCCGGAGCATGAACGACATTTCGGACACGCCGAGCACCGACCAGGTAATCGTCCCCAAAAACACGCGTGCATTGCTGCGAGGAGCATCTCCCACGCCACCCACGACGGGGCTCATTGGTTGTTAAGGTCCATGTGAGCCCTGTGTGGCTTCGCTCGGTCGATAACCGCACCAATTCCTAATTAGGGGGATTAATCGACATATTGATCGCTGCTTAACTCACAGGGAAGCTGGCCCAGAATTAATACCTGTGCTTGCATGTTGAACACAGGACTAGGGACACGCGAGGATGCTGGTGTAGGGTGGAGAAAAAAGTCCTTAAAATTTTTAGGTAGGAGGTGAAAGATGCTTAGAAGATCAGGGGGCATCCTAAAAGAGCCTTTGCTTGGCTGGGTGAGGGGGGAAATCCAGATCTTCAGATAAATGAGAATACAGAGGCTTGGTCCATTTTCCTCTCCATTTGCCGCGTGATGGATGTGGGTTTCTTAATGCAAAGCTCAGCCAAGATCCCATGGGCTTTTCCATAAAAGGGAAAATTAAAGCAACGTGGGTTTGTAGGGGATGCTATGGGATGACAGGGGTGTCCTTAGGGGAAAGCCATGGATGGAAATTTGGGTGCTGCTGGGAGCTATGGGATAGGGATACCACGATACCAGGGAGGCAAGAAGGTCTCCAGGACACCCCCCCAAATTAGTGCTGCCATAAAGCAAGGCAACTGCCTGCTAGCGAACCCCAAATATCAGCCTCCAGCAGTGGGGTGCGGAGGGTTAATCCCAAAATATGCAAAGTATTTAGGTTTAATCGCCCTATTAGACCCACTACAAAGGGACTTTTTAAGTGTTACCCTAAGCTTAGTGCTCCCTGTTAACTCCTGCTCTTGCTTTTATTCCAAGTTGGAGGAGTTGCTTTATTATTATTAATTTTTTTTTCCATTTGGGTTTAAAAGATTAGAAAGGGGAGAGCTTGCTGCCCGCTCACATGCCTCCCCTCATGCTGGCGTATAGATTATAACAACTCCCCGCCTGCGTCGGTATTGAACCCTTTTAGACTAATAATGAAAGAGCTGCAGGGGAGACGAGACCCAGGGAAGAAATCCATGAGCGAGGTTTCCTGCTCCCATTATTTTGTTCCTGCTCCAAGGATGAGGCTGGAGAGGGAACGAGCCACAAAAACATGGCGCCAAGCGGCGTTTCTGAATTTTATAGGGGTTTGGGGGAGCCCAGGGCTGCAAACATGCAAAAACGCATCTTGGCTTGCTCCAGGACCTGTATTTTTTGGATTTTCTGAAGGGGGTTATTGCCAGGGCTTTGCGTAGACCCTGGAGCAGCAAAGCACCCAATTGCACGTTGCGTTTGCCCAAGCGTGTGGTTTCAAGTGAATTTTGGGCTTAGTGATGGTTTCAAATAACAGAGAAATTCAGCTTTATGAATTCTTGCTGGTTTGTTCTTGGATGTGGCTCTTGAATCTCCATCTCTGAGAGTTCCAGGACCATCAGATCCAGAGGTCTGAACCTGCACCTTCAGCTTTTGCGTTCAGGGAGTGAAAAAGAGAGGGGGAAAAGCCAAATTTCGGCAGCTGCTCCCTTCCCTGCTCTCATCTTTCCAACAGCTGAAGAACAAGTTCATCAAGAAGATCCCCAAGGACGCAGAGGCCTCCAACGTGCTGGTGGGAGAGGTGGAGTTCTTGGAGAAGCCCTTCGTGGCTTTTGTGCGGCTCCTCCAGGCCACGATGCTGGGAGGGGTGACCGAGGTGCCAGTCCCCACCAGGTGAGCCCGAAGCCCCGAGTGGTCTCACCCCACGGATGCCAATGGTCCAAGCTTGCCAAAACGGTGTCTTTCCCTTCCCAGGTTCCTCTTTATTCTCCTTGGTCCCGCGGGAAAAGCCAAATCCTACAACGAGATCGGCAGAGCCATCGCGACGCTCATGGTGGATGATGTGAGTAGATGCAACACCCGGCATCACCAGGAACCTCCTTGCTCAAAGCCAATTAAAGAAAAGCGATTTTTACCCTATTGCCCAAATAAATGAGCTTTAAAATCCCATAACAACATGGGACATGGTCATTCTGGGTGCTGTGCCCAGGCTGACCGCTCTCCTCTCTCGACCCCCAGCTCTTCAGTGACATTGCCTACAAAGCCCGGGACAGAGAAGACCTGATTGCCGGCATAGATGAGTTTTTGGATGAAGTTATAGTCCTGCCGCCCGGCGAGTGGGACCCCAACATTAGGATTGAGCCACCCAAAAAAGTGCCCTCGGCTGAGAAGAGGTGGGTGGGAGATGTGGGGCTGGTCCCAACCCTGTGGCCATCCCCATCTCCTAATTTGGAGAGGCTAAAGGAGGACAGCAGCTTTCCTTGCCTTCATCCCTAGCAAGAATCTCTGCAGATTTTCCAGAAATGCAACTCTTTTTAACAGTTTTGCCCTCAAATCAGCTCAGAGCCATTTCCACTCTGTCAAATCTGCATTACCCCTCTATTTGCTGAGCAAATCCATGTCTTGAGCTTTCCAAATTCACCCCAAAACTCAAGCTCTTGTGCAAGTGGAGAGCTACACCATGGCCTTGGCCATGGTCCCTGCAGCAGGACCAGCTTGGCGGGGCAGGCACCGTGGCTGACACCAGTGGTGATTTTTCCACAGGAAATCGGTTTTCTCGCTGAATGAAGTGGGGCAGATGAACGGTGCGGCCGGCGGGGCGGGTGCTGGGGGCGGCGGCGGAGGCAGCGATGATGGGGAGATGCCTGAAGCTCACGAAATCGGGGAGGAGCTCGCGTGGACCGGCAGGTGAGCAGCACCCCACCACTCACAGGACTTCTACCCATCAGCATCTCCTGCTGACTCACCCCAGGGTATCCTGGGGCACGGAGGGGTGAGATCCATGGATGTGGCACTTCAGGACATGGTTTAGTGGCCATGGTGGTGTCGGGTTGACAGCTGGGCTTGATGATCTTAGAGGTCTCTTCAACCTCAGTGATTCTGTGATTCCTTTTGGCCACAGGCTTTTGTGCAGCACCGTATTTATTTCGGTGGTATTTTGCATCTGGATCTTGGTGGTGTCTCCCCAGGTTTTGTGGTGGCCTCTATTTGGATATCAAGAGGAAGCTGCCCTGGTTCCCCAGTGACTTCTATGAAGGCTTTCATATCCAGTCCATCTCTGCCATCTTGTTCATCTACCTGGGCTGCATCACCAACGCCATCACCTTTGGGGGCTTGCTTGGGGACGCTACGGACAACTACCAGGTTCAGTCCAAGGAGGGGGGACACTGGGATGGGATGGGATGGGTCAAGATGGGTCCCCCTTATGTCATGCCACGCTTTAATGCTGAAGATAGAAAACCCATCTCAATGTCAATGCCAGCAGCAAGATGACATGGTCCCAACCATCTATATGGGTCCAAGCAGAGGTCCTTGATTCCCATCTCCGCCCGGGGTGTCTGTGGGGATGTAATGCGGCACAGCATCACCGTAACGTTGGGTTTGATCCACTCCCAGGGCGTCATGGAGAGCTTCCTCGGCACGGCCATGGCGGGCTCCATGTTTTGCCTCTTCGCCGGGCAGCCCCTCATCATCCTCAGCAGCACCGGCCCCATCCTCATCTTCGAGAAGCTGCTCTTTGACTTCAGCAAGTAGGTGCTGGGCAATGCCAGGGATAACCAGGACCCATCCATACCGGGATGGGAGCTGTCCTCCAGCCCATGGTGGTCTGTAACAGAACCATTCTCGCCTTGTCCCCAATTTCAGAGGCAACGGCATCGACTACATGGAGTTTCGCCTCTGGATCGGCCTGCACTCTGCCCTACAGTGCCTTATCCTGGTGGCCACCGACGCCAGCTTCATTATAAAGTACATCACCCGCTTCACGGAGGAAGGCTTCTCCACCCTCATCAGCTTCATCTTCATCTACGATGCCATCAAGAAGATGATCGGCGCTTTCAAGTACTACCCCATCAATTCGGACTTCAAGCCGGACTACGTCACCATGTACAAGTGCGAGTGCATCGCTCCCGACCCAGGTGAGTACACAGCTTTTTCGGCGGCGGATGGGGAAGATGAAGGGGATGGGGGGGTCCCACCATGGATAAATCCCATCGGATTGCTAGCCGAGGACGTGGAAGGAGGCAGCTACACGGTCAGCGTGGGGTGGAGAGACCTCGGCCTCCTCCTCTGAGGAGGATTTTGGACAAGCTGGAAGCCTTGTCCCCCATGGATGAGCGCTTCGGTGCTTGTCAGGACGTGGTGAACAGAGCTGGAGAGCTTCTGTCTCAGCCTGGAGCGGCCAAACCTGGATGGATAACAAGGAAATATGGATAAAAAGACATTTTAAATCATTAATTCCAACCTGCTACCGATGGAAACTTATTCTCCAGAAAATACACTGGTTTTGTCCTCTCCATTGCCCAGGACACCCTGGGATGTCCCAGTTGGGTGTGGAAACCTCCTTGGTCTGCTTTTTTCTCCTCTTTCTTCCTCCTTTTCAAAAGGAGAGGCCATCAGGCCCTGAGCAGGTGGTTTTTTGGTGGCTCCCTTCGTTTTGCTCTTGGATAGACCTTCCCGATGGTCCCCAGTCCGAACCGTGCACCTTGGAAGCTCCCACAGCCGCCTGGACAGGAGCAGAGATCTCTGGTTTGGGGCGATGCCAGCGACTGCCTGCTCTCAGACGAGCTGAATTTATTTAAAATTCTGAATGCTAACAATTTTGGGGAGTATCGGCTGCAGACAGAGGAGGCAGAGAGGTGGCGATGATGGTGAAGCTCTCCCCAAAAATAGAAGCAGCCAAGACCTACGTCACCACGCGTTTCCAATACATCTCTCATTGCAAGAAGAGACCTTACCAACGGCGATGGAAATAACATTTATTCGGTTGAATTTTGCCTTTTTCCTTGATTTTTGTTTCTGAACCACCTGCTGA